ACCCCATTTATTTGTACGTTTACAGAAAAGCAGTATCGAGACTGCATACAAAGGGGAGGTTCCATCCTGGAAAGCAGGGCACATCCTTATCTTGCAAAAGTGTAAGACCGCGTTCATACTTGGTGACGGAGGATAAGAGAACTGGAGAATAGGAGAAATGTGGAATCGAGTTTCTGGGGGAATGTGAGGGGATGGGATCGATCGGCGTCGGCTACCACTGTTTCTGAAGAATAAGAGAATTGGAGATTTGGAGAATGGGAGAACTGGAGAATAGTAGAATCGACATAGGACAAAAATGTTCTTCAAAAAGATACCCATCCACTCCGTTGGCGCCCATTCTCCTAAACAACGTTGATTCTGCGACTCTCCATATCCCTCAAAACCCCAGATCGACGCCCATATTTCCCTTTTCGAAAGTTCTCCTACTCGTTCGTCGCAAGTATAAACATGGCCGAAGCTATCATGTTAAATTGAAGTACCTGAGTCGACTTCCGCAGGGTCTTCTTTACAGGAAACCAAGCCCTGCGGCGTTACATGGTATGCTTCCATCAATGAGCACACGTTCTCTTTTCTAAAAGGCATTAAATCGATTTAATCTATATATCCACAGACTCACGAATCCAGTCTGACATCATTAATCGGAATAAGGCGAAATACAGGTATGGGGGAAAAGAAAGAAGGAGGGAAATGTCAGCTGCTTTTTGACGATGCGGGGAAGGGAGTGAAAAGCTTCGTGTACAGCGGCTAGTTTTGCGGTAGAAACTGCGAGCACGTAGATTCAGATTTCTTAGCAAAGATCCAGAACTAGCGTATAACTGAGCCTAAAGAGATTCGTCAAGGGAAATAGTATAATCGCAGGCTACGCTTGAAAGCATCAAGTTAATAGCAACCATCATAGAAATAAAAATCGTTAATTCATATGTGAAAATGCATGGGCAGAACTAAAGCCCCGACGTCCTCCCCCCTCCCCCCGCTCCCCAGGGCTGCTGGAGCTGCCATTCAGAAACGTGGAGGCAGTGATCACATGGAAGGAACGTGTAAAGGGTGGGAAGGCAAGGTCGAGGCGCTAGAGCGCTAGTGAACTCTGTGTCTCCTTTATGCCAATACTCTCCCTCTCCGCGTTTTCACTGAGCAGCCCGGCAGCCGGTCGCCCAGCTGTGATGCGCTGCCGACAAAGTGTACAGCTATCGATCGTTCCTAGGTATTGGATTGAGCGCTATTTCAGAAAGATGGGACATTTTGATAGGGCATTGTCCCCTGTCTGGCTATCTGAGACCTCAGCGTAGAAAAAACCCGAAGAACCTGCAGAAGTTAGGGAGAATCGACGAACAATGCAGGCGAAACGCTGAACAACTCAGCGCACTTGCGAAGAGGGTTAAATGTACATCAATGAGGAGAATCGGCGAGCTTTTTCG